CCAATTTCTAAAATTCTCTGAATGAACTTGGAAGCATGAGTAACATTTACTAGTGACAGGTGAAGACCTTGGGAGGCTGAGGCATGGGGATGAAGTCAGGCATTCAAAGCTAGTTTAGACAACCCAGCAAGACCCTGTCCCTGGCCTCCTGAAAAAAATAAGGTCTACAGTTACATTTTTGAGGGAACGAAGGTCTTTTTTTGCTTCTATTTTTTTTAATCAAAGTTTACTCACATAGGATGCCAAAGTTAAAAAAAAAAATCACAAATTCACAAAACACATATTACATGTGCTCTTAAGAAGATTCTTGCACTTGCCAGGCACGGTGGTGCACGCCTGTAATTCCAGCAGTCGGGAGTTTGAGACAGGAGGATTGTTGTGAGTTCAAGCCCACCATGAACTGCATAGCGAGACTCTGTCTCAAAAAGACCAAAAAAAAAAAAAAAAAAAAAAGATTCTTGTACTTACCAATGATGTCTGATCCTCAAATGGTCTTGTAATATTTTTCCTAAGAATATTAACAAGAGATGATGCCAAGGTTAATAATCTTGCTAAGTAAATCCAATTAATACTTGTGTAAGTCAAAAATAATATTATACTTGGATGACTGGGGAAAAAACTGGAAAAGCTGGGCATGACAGCTGGAAAGATAATCACCCAAATACTTTAATACCTGCTGTATGCAGGCCTGGTTCTAGAAGCCAAGGATACTGTAATGCTATGTCAAATAACAACGTGCTTGCTTTCAAGGAGACTATTTTTTTCTTCTTTTTTCGGGGGGTACATGGTCTCTTTGTAGTCCAGGCCAGGCTTGAACTCACTATGTAGCCCAGGCTAGCATTTGATCCTTCTGCCTCAGCCTGCCAAGTGCTGAGATTTCTATGTGCACCACCACATCGGTTCACAGAGCTTATATTCTATTCGAAAACCAATAAAATTAAATAGCAATAGGGCATGGTGGTGCACACTTTAATCCAGCTCTCAGGAGGCTGAGGCAGGAGGACTGCCATAGGTTTAAGGTCACCCCGTACGGCATAGTGAGTTCAAGATTACCGGAACAAATAGCAAGGCCCTCTCGCAAAAAATAAATAAATAAATAACAGTAGTGACTAAAACAAAATACGTTATTATGTCAGTGTGAAGAGACCTGATTAAAAGTTAGCCACTACAAAGTTCTAAGGTTAAGATTATTCTCAGAGGGAACAGAATGAACAAAGAAAACCTCTTCCAAGAAACAGAAGCAAATGTCACTGGAGGTGAGTGAGCAAAAAAGTAATGGTGGGATATGTGATCTAGATGCAGACAAGTCTCAGATTATACAGGCTTTACTGGTCAAGGTAAGAAATGCAGGTTACTATTAGAAGAGTAATGGGGAACATAGGAGTTCAGACCAGACAGTGATGTGATCGGATCTCAATTTTTTTTCTTTTTTTTTGTGTGTGGTATTGGGGATTGAACTCAGGGCCTGCGCACACTAGGCAAGCATTCTACCACTGAGCTACAGCCCCAGCCCTAAGTTTTCTTTTAGCAGATTGCTCTGTCTGCTATGTGAGAATGGACTATACTGCAACCAGGTAGAAAAATGTTAGCAGCACACTAATGATAGCAGTGGATATGTCTCATGGGAATACAAAGTCCACACTGAATTCACACTAAAAAATATACAAGTGATAGCCCTTCCTTCAGAACTCTCACTAGGCTATGTAGAAGAAATGAGGGAAACAGAAAACCACCATTAGAGCACCACAGTAATCACTACTATACACACACACACACACAATGCAATGGATGCTAAAATCAACCAGCAGAAGTTTCAGGAACAAAGGATACAGGCTCCGTTATCTGTTGGCTCCAAAACATCTGGCCAGGAAATTGCATCTGAACTGAACATGCACCACTTCTTGCCTGTCAGTATTTCCTGAACAACACAGCGTAACAGCCATGCGCACAGCATCTAGACTGCATTAGGCTGTATAGGTGACTTAGATTTAAAGTATATAGGAGCTACAGGCCACCATGGTTCATGGCTTTAATTTTGATGAAAGCAAGTGGGAGGCGGAGGCAGCAGGACCGTAAGTTGAGGCTAGTCTGGACAGTGACAGTGATATGATCAGATCACTGCATAGTGAGACCCTGTGTCAAAAAATAAACAAAATAAAATAAAGTATATGGGAGGATACACACAGGTCAGTAGCATATACCACACCATTCTGTATATAAGGGACTGAGAATCTGGACTTTGATATCTAAGGAACCACAGACCCACCAGCAATAGAACTGAAAGATAACTGTATTTGCATGGTCTCTGTATAGTCTCAAAGTTCTTCCTTCCAAGTATTTATTAACTACAAAGGGACAAATACTGACTTTACAGTCTAGAAACCAAGCAGACACCACTTATCTGGGGGGGGGGGGTTTATTTTTTATTTTTTGAGGTAGGGTCTTGCTATCCAGTTCAAACTGGCCTTGAACTCAAGGCAATCCTCTTGCGCAGGGGCACAGGGACTGGGATTACAGCAGTGTGCCGTGTGCCACCAGGCCTGGAAAGAAGACACCACTTTGACCAACATAACACCACCAGCATAAAGCACAGTAATCATCATACGGATCCCCTAGTATTTCTGTGATGTTCTTAACAAAAATACATAACTTCAACCTATTCATAAGAAAATTTACAACAAACCCAGACAGATGGACAGTGCACAATATACCTGATCAGTTTTCATCAAATGTGTCAAGGATATAGAAAACAAAGAAAGACCGAGGAACTGTCACAAATTAGAGTTACGGAGACATGATAACTCAACACATGGAGCTAGGTATGGTGGCACAAGCCTGTAACCCAACAGGCAAATCAGTGACTTTGTAGATTCCATCTCAAAATAATAAAGGACTGGGCAGGAGATAGAGCTCAGCAGCACAGCGCCTGTCTGGCAAACTCAAGGTCCTGAGTTCAATTCCTGGTACCAAAAATAGTAATAAAAAAGGACTGGGACTGTAGCTTAGTATGAAGGCCTTGAGCTTAACTCCTAGTACTGCAATGAAGAGAAGGAGAGCAGGAAGTGGGGAAGGAAAGGGCGAAGGACAAGGAGAAGGAAGGGGGAGACCCAGTGTGGGAGAGGTGGGGAGAGGAGGGAAGAAATGCAATGGAGGATAGTGGAAGAGAAAAAAAATAGTGGAAAAGCTGCTGCCAACCAAGTGTCTGAGGCCAGCCTGGACTACACAACTGAGTTAAAAGCCAGCCTGGGCTACATGGCGAGACCCATGCTCAAAAAACCAAACCAAAGCAAACAGAACAACATCAGGGGAAGCTAGGTGAAGGGCATATATACAGGAAGTCTATTATTCTTGCAATTTTCTATAAATCTGTAATTGTTTCAAAACATGTACATTATAACTAATTTTTCTTCTAACCAGGCGTGGTGGCGCATGCCTGTAATCTCAGCATCTGGGAGGCTGAAGCAAGAGGATCGTTGTGAGTTCAAGACCAGCCTGGGCTACAAAGTGAGCTCAAGACCAGCCTGAACTACATAGCAAGACCCTGTCTCAAAAAGACAAAAAGAAAAAAAAAAACAAACAAACTAATTTTTCTTCTAAATCTTCCATAGAACAGTTGTAACTTTTATAGTGGAATAAAATAATTTATTTTAATAAGTTTTAAAAAATTATGACTTACTTTTTATAGAGAACTCCATATGGTTTTTTCAGTGCATACTGTAAAACATAATTTATAACTTTCAAACAAAACATTCTGAAAAGCAGAGATAAAAATAAAGCATTGTAACATTCATGCTGCGAAACCACTCTGGCCCAAACCCTGTTCTGTTATCTCCTGCTTGGCTCACTTTGATCACTCAGAATAACATGTAACTTATGCTTAATATTTAACTTAGACTAGACTGCATTAGTTTAAGGTTTTTGTGCTCTTTCAATAGTCTATCCAACTTAAATGATTCCTTCCATTTGTAAAACTCTATGCAGTTTATTCTCTCCATGCAAAATGGGAGTAGAAAGAAAGGCAAAAGGCAAACCAAAACAAAAATAAACAAAACCTATCAGAGCCACAGAACTGAAATAATGGAAGGTAACAACTCAGAACAGTCACAGGGATGACAATGAGAATACTATTTGGAGTTTAAACACAGGCTTTTGAAAATTTTTTGTTATCCTCTAGTCTTTTAAGATCTACTTCCTTCCACTTATCCACAAATAATCTATTACCTTCATGGCCAGGGAACAGCACAAAGGGAATGGCAAAGACGTAACGCACTGTCCTGTGTTGGAGAAGCAGGTCAACAAGGGAAGAAAGGCGAAATGACCATGTAATATCAGAGCCAGTAAATAAAGGAAACTGATCTGTGACATCACCTTTTTGGCTAAAACTTCTGATGGTGATTCTTAGCCAAACACTCCCCGTCTCAAGGTAATGAACACTTCTTTTTCCTGACAGTTCAGGGTCACCATTCTGAATAGTAACCACTATAATCTGTAATCCTGGTAAACACCGCACTATTCTCAGAGCTTACTTAAAAAGTAAAGGGTCGCTGTGCTGAAAGGATGTGGGAAGGAAAGGGACATTGTCCAGGAAATGCAGTGCCACTGAGACAACCGTTTCAAAAAACAATGGAAAAAAAAAAAAAAAAAAAAGACACATATATTAGGCATTAAGACACCTGAAATGACTATGTTTAATAAGCATGAGAAAGCTGGCACACGCCTGTAATCCCAACACTCGGGAAGCTGAAGCAGGAGGATTGCCATGAGTTCGAGGCCAGCCTGGGCTACATAAGCAAGTTCTCAAGGCCTACTTGAACTGCATGAGACTCTGCCTCAAAAAAAAAAAAAAAACATAAGGAGTTTAATCCAGTTTTAAAACACATTCTAGGCTGGGTAAGCTGGCACACACCTGTAATCCCAGCCCTTACAAGGCTGAGACAGGAGGATCATCATCAGTTCAAGGCTAGCCTAGACTATACAGTGAAATTCTGTCTCAAAAAAAAGCAAACCAAATCAAAAAAATAACATATTCAGTTACTTAGTTGACTTAATAAAATCTATGAGCTTTATTTAAGGCCTAAATATTAAAAACTACCTATGAGATATCTACCATGCTGATTAAACACTTACTGAGCACCTGTGTCCAGACCTGGGCTAAGACACCACACCATGGAGGCAGAAAAAAATCTACCTTCCCTACTTAAACTAGATGTCCCAAAGCGAACATCATCACCTTTCCCTCCAAAGTGCACCCCCTGACATTCCCTAACTGTCACGACTGCCCACGGGCACACAAGCCAGAAATCTGGGATGCGCCGTGCTTATTAACACCCACAGCCTCTGCCCTCAGCACTGATCAACTCGCACTTCTTTACCACCACCAAACTCCCATGCTGTCTGCCAGGCTGACAGCAACAACTTTCTTATTTTCCAAAACCTGCAAGCGGCAGCTAGTGCCCTGGCAAGGCAAACAGCCTCTGACTTTGGCTCTTGTCTAAAGCTAGCAGATGTTAAGAATAACTTACCTGCGTGCTTCTCCAGCACCCCAACCTGGCATGCTGGAAATTTCTAACATGACTTTAATACCACTGAAACATAATATGCATACGTACCACGTCTTTCAGGACTTGGGTCACTGTTGCATTTGCATTTCCCCCTTTAATCAGCATGGCATTTTTAATATTTTCACTAAGTTTCGGTTCTCTCTTCTCAAGGAATCTTTTGGCCCTTTTCGTTTTGGGCTTTCTGTTCAGAAAAGCACAATTCATAACAACTTAAACATATTTCTCATAAAAAATAAACACATTCCTCATATTATAAAATCAAGACTTGAACAATGAACAAATTCTTTAAAAAAAAAACAATCAATATTCTACTCACATATTTATCAATTAGGATTCCACCATTAAAGAAATATCAGTAAAAGATGTTTTATTACTAGTGTTTTATTAGATTGATTTTTTTTAAAAAAGGTTTCATTTTGATCGTCTCGATATTCTTTTATTATTACTGTTTTCTAAATTTTTTTCAATTAAAAAATAAAGGACTTGGTCAGGCGTGATGGCGCACGCCTGTAATTGCAGCTTTTGGGAGGCTAAGGCAGGAGGATCCTTTCAAGTTGGAGACCAGCCTGGGTTACAAAATGAGCTCAAGGCCAGCCTGCATTACATAGCAAGACCCTGTCTCAAAAAGTCAAGAAAGAAAGAAAGAAAGAAAGAAAGACAGACAGACAGACTCAAATGAATGATTTTTTTTTTTTACTCCATTATTTTTCCTTCAAACTTAGATAAACGGATGCCTATACCCTAACACAAAGAACTGCACATCAATCTGTGGGCATTTCCTAAAGGTAGAGAGGCTGACTGTAACAATCTTTCTTCCAGGGTCAAGACTATAGTGACTGCCAGGAAACATACTGTCCCCTACTCTAACATCCTTGCTAAGAAAGTCTACATTACTACTCTCAAGGGCCAGGAATTTAGCTCAGCAGCACAGCACCTGCCTGGCAAGTGTGAGGTCCTGGTACCAAAAAAAAAAAGCAGCTTACTGCTCTCAACGGGGAATAATTATTGACATTATGGAGTAACTCTACATACTGAGGGTTAATCTTCACCACAACCCTATGATTACAGTTATTATCCTTGTTTACAAATGAAGCAACTAAGATGATAAAGAATTTGCCCAAGGTCACACAACTAGTACAGAGGCCAATCTGTAAAATATGAAGAAAAAATAAATTCATTATTCTGACTTTATGATGGGACAGGAGTGCCATGTTTTTATACATTTCTTTTCAGAGTGTGTCCTTTGCCTCCTCTATGAGTGTTTTGCTTTTCGAACACTTCTCTGCCACCTATTGAAAGACTCTTCTCTCAAAAAAATATGACCCTCTGCCAGGTGTAGTAATGCATGCCTGTAATCTCAGCACTCAGGAGGCTGAGACAGGAGGATTGCTCTGAGTTTGAGGCCCTGGGCTACAAAATGAGTTCAAGGCCCAGCCTGAACTACATAGTGAAATCCTGTCTCAAAAAAAGGAAAAAACAAAACAAAACAAAAAAAAAACTATGACCTTCCCTGTTGCAGTGCTATGGATACATCAAATTAAAAAAAAAAAAAAAAAACAAAAACAAAACAGGACAGGACAGAGGAGGCACAATGATACACGGCTATAATCCCAGCAATCCGGGAAGCTGAATCAGAGGATTCCAAATTCGAGACCAGCTTTGGGAATGAAATAAAACCCTGCCTCAAAAACAAAGGATCAATTTTGCATGCCTATATCTTATAATCTGAGCAACTACTTTGAAAATAACAATACGCAGGGCTGGGGATATAGCTCAGGGACATAAGCGCCTGCCTGGCAAGCACAAGGTCCTGAGTTTGATTCTCGGTACCAAAAAAAAAGGTAACAATATGCAGTATAATAACCATTGTTAATTTCCTATCATCTTGTTTTGAAATTGTATATGGTTTTTATTGGTTTTTTTTTCCCCCTCTTTAAAAAAAAAAAAAAAAAAAAAACAACAACTAAAAAGGACTGGAGATACAGCTCTGTACAAAGGCTCTGGATGTAATCCCCAGTGGAGGGAGTAGGGGTGTTACAGGATGAACAATATATACTTGTATATACACTTTAGTTTCTTATAGAGAAGTTTTGAAAATCTTTCGTGCATTTTGGATTTTGGTTTTGTTGGGCACTTTTTTGAGGGGGGAGTTGAACTCGTGATTGAATCCAGGCTTCCCTAGAGCTTTTTAGTTTTTATTTTGAGACAGGGTCTTGCTAAGACATTATGGCTCCAACTTGGAATCCTCCTGTTCAGCCTCCCAAAGTGCTGGGGTGACAGGCATATGCCACCTTGCTCAGCTCTCATGCAGAATTAAAAATTCTCCCTCAGGCTGGGTGTGGTGGTGCACGCCTGTAATCCCAGCACTTGAGAGGCTGAGGTAGGAGGATCCTTGCGAGTTTGAGACCAGCCTGGGCTACAAAGTGAGCTCAAGGCCAGCCTGAACTGCATAGTGACACCCTGTCTCAAAAAAGACAAAAAAAAGGGCTGGGGATTTAGCTCAGCAGCACAGCGCCTGCCCGGCAAGCGCAAGGTCATGAGTTCGATCCCCAGTACCGGAAAAAAAAACAAAACAACAAACAAACAAAATTCTCCCTTGGATAAAAATGTTACATACTTATTATGTCACTTACTGGCTAACAAAGAAATATGAGAAACAGGCAGCCAGGCATGGCGGCATAAACTTGTAATCCCAGTTACTCTGGAGGCTCAGGGGGGAGGACCCCTAGTTGGAGGCCATCTGGGCCATTAAACTAGACCTTATCTGGAAATTTTAAAAAATCCCAAAGGCTGGTATGTGGCTCAGTGCTCCCTGGGTTAAATTCCCAGCAACAGTACAGCTGAGCAAGTGCAAGTGCAATAATTCATTGTATTAAATGCCCTCTGTTCCAAAGCAAAAAAAAAAAAAAAAAAAAAAAAAAGGAAAAGGTGGGGGAAGAAATGAGTACTGTGTCTTTAGGGCAGTAAAGGGCTGTACTATCTACGTTATGTGTTTTGTTACTTTTCACTAGCCAGCAACAAACGTAAGTAGTTTTCCTGTTCTCCTGGCTGTTTGTCCCTCTATCAGAATGCACACTACTCCTACTCATCATTACAGTCTCAACACCTAGGTACAGGAGGTGTCCAAACCCAACGAAACGCGTTTAGATGACACATTAGCCTAGGTACAATCACAAGAGAGGCCACAGCAAACAGCAGGAATACTTAGAAGCTCCAATAAATATTTTCTGAATGAATTTAAAACGAACATCACCAATGATAACTCGGGGAAATGCACTACGTTGGATGGAAAACAAAAACCTAACAAGCATTTTCTTCCTACTGTGACAAGGGCTTTACCTGTACCGCGAAACACATCTCCAGGGAACAGGTTATTATGATTGCTATTCTACAGAGAGAACTGAGACTCAGGAAGGTTTAATGAGGGCGGGCACTGTGGCTAACGCCTGTAATCCCAGCACTCAGGAGGCTGAGGAAGGAGAATTGCTACTTCAAGGCCAGCCTGTGCTACACAGTGAGTTCAAGGTCAGCCTGAAATACATAGACCCTGTCTCTTAAAAAAAAAAAAAAAAAAGACTGGCGATGTAGCTTAGTGCACACACTGGGTTCAACCCCAGTGCTAGGAAAAAAAACCAAAAACGGTGTAATGGCCCCAGGTCACAAGGCTTTGAATGGACCATCCACGACAGTCACCAAGCTCTCTCAGATCCCGAAGCCTTCTCTCTACCACCTCCCCCTCACTAGCCAGACATTTTCGCTAAAGTGTTTATACACACACGGATTGAACCCAGGGCCTCCGATAAGCTAGGTCGGTGCTCTACCACAGCCTCATCCCAGTCCCTGGACTCTTTTAATAATCCTTATTTGCAGTACATAATGATTACAGTCATCGTGGAGAGCTGGTACACAACACATCTTAATTCTTTTCACGTCCCCTTCCCTCCATGTCACCTTTCCATTTACAAAAGCTCTATGCCCCCGTTTCCTACTGTCTGTCACTACCTTTTCCCCATACATGTCTGGGGTTTTTGTTTGTTTTGTTTGAGTCAAGGTGTCTCTACGAAGTCCAGGTTGGCCTTGGACTCGCTATGTAGCCCACGCTGGTCTCCAATTCGGAGCGACCCTCCTGCCTCAGCGTCCCGAGGGCTGGGCGCGCACCACCACGCCGCACTCCAGACTTTTCTTAATGGATAAGAAAAAGGCGGCCAAGGCTTCAGTCCCCGCTCCCAGGCTGCTACACTGCGGGCTTCCCGGCTCCCCAACTCCGCAGGCGTCACGAGCTAAAATCTGAATCAGATGGCCCTCACCTGCCACGTCAAAGAGCGTCAAGGAAAGCGGAAACCAAGAAGGCAGGGGGCAGAGACACTATCATTCCTATCACAGAAGACCGTCTCCTCAAGGGGATCCAGCGCACTTACACAACTCTGTCCAAGGCGTCCATCGCTTCCACAACCTCAGTCCAGCCAATACACGTGCCCCGCGCCGGTGCGCGAGATAAGTGCGTGCCCAGGAACAGCCGGAACCGGAAACAGCGTGACGTAACTTCCTGGGACGGCCTAGTCGCCAGGTGCTGGCGGCCATTTTGAGTGGGACGGCGCTCTGTTTCCCCGGTTACGGGTTTACGTCGTGACTCTGCCGGAAATTAAAGTGCGGTGTTGCAGTTTAGCTTCCCCTTTCGGGGCCCATGTACAGGTTTGCGAATATGTCTGAAGTCAGGTATCAGGGACCAGGTGTTCTTCAGGGAATCCCCCAGAATGCTAGGAAGGTTGAAAGGACGGCAGGTGTTCTTGTAGCTACTAAACTTACTCAGGTGCAAAGGGCGTCATTGAATGATGAGATCAAATGAGGTGTTTATTACTACAATTCCTTAGCATATAAAAAAACCTGAAAATAATACTGCTCATCGTGATTATTTTCTATTTTTTAGTTGCCATATAATTCTGATGTCATAATTCCATTGGTTTTGGTACACTGTATCCGCAAAGAAGTAGAACTATCACCACTGTCTCATTTCAGAATATTTTGCGTTGTTCGCGATTTCCCCTTCCACCAACTCTGGGCAACCATTAATCTACTTATATTCCATAGATTTGCCTATACTGAACATTTATATTGTTAATAGACTGATACAAGTTGTGGCCTTATGCTGACTTCTTTCATGTAACTTGTGTTTAAGGTTTATGCATGTTGTAGCACGGATCAGTGCTTCATTGTGGGTTTTTGTTTGTGTTTGTTTGTTCCTGGTAGTGGTTTTGTTTTTGTTTGCCTTGAACTCCTGGCGGCCCTCCTGCCTCAGCATCCTCACTGCTGTGATTACAGGCTTGTACCACCATGCCCAGCATTATTATATTAAATTTTGAAACCAAGAAGTGTGAATCTTCCAACTTTGTTCTTTTTCTTTCTTTTTTTTTTTTTTGTTTGGTTTTGTATTTTTGAGACAGGGTCTCACTATGCAGTTCTGGCTGGCCATGAGCTCACTTTGTAGCCCAGGCTGGCCTCAAACTCGAAATGATCCTCCTGCCTCAGCCTCCTGGGTGCTAGGATTACAGGCTTGGGCCACCACACCCAGCTCTTATTCTTTTTCTGGATTAAATTTCTATATCGATTGTAAGATTAACTTCAGCAACAGAGGCAGCTGGGGTTTTGATAGGGATTGAATCCATAGATCAACATGGGAAATACTGGCATCTTAATATTCAATCTTCCAGTCTTCAACATGGAAGACCTACTTATTTAGGCCTTCTGTTTCTTTCAGTAATGTTAAGTTTGTTACCAAGTTTTGCTTTGTTGTTTGGATTTTATTTTTTCAGGGAAGGAAGGATCAAACCCAGGCCCATGCCTGGCTAACCCTCTAACACTGAGCTGCAGCTACAGCCTTTTTAATTTTTTTGTTTTTGTTTCTTGAGATAAGGTTTCCATATGTAGTCAAACTGGCCTTGAACTGTATAGCTCAGGTCGGCCTCGAGCTCTGGTGATCCTCCTGCCTCAGCCTCCCATGTGCTGGGATTACATGTATGTGCCACCACACCCAGCTTCATTTTATTTTTTTCTCAGCCTTTTTTTTTTTTAAATATTCACTGAATTGCCAGACTGACCTCAAATTTGTAGTCCTCTTGCCTCAGCCTCCCAAGTAGCTAGGACTGCAGGTGTGCGTCACCGCACTGTCCTATTTTATTTAATTTGATGGTATTGTAAATTGAGGTGTTTATTCTTAATTTCATTTTTGGTTTGCTCATTGCTAATACACAGAAATATACCTCAGGTTTACAGAGTGATCTTATACCCTGCAACCTTGCTGAGTTCACTGAGTCTTTTAGCATTTTTGGATTTCCTCAAGTTGTTGTGATTTTTTTTTTTTTTTTTTTGATACAGGTCTCCCTATGTAGTGCAGGCTGGCCTTGAACTCTAAGCAATCCTGCCTCAGGCTCCCAAGTGCTGGGACTACAGGAATGTACCCCCACAGCCAGCTTCTGATTTTTTGAGACAAGTTCTCACTGTATAGCCCAGGCTGGTCTCATACTCCTGATCCTCCTGTCTCAGCCTCCTGAGTACTGACATTATAGGTATGTGCCATCATACCTGCCAAGATTCCCTGTAATTTTTTACAGAGAAATCATATCATCTGCAAATGGAGATAATTTTACATTTTCCTTTACAATTTTGGTGGCTTTCTCTGTCTTGCCTAACTTCCTTGTACAATGTTAAATACAAGTAGTGAGCACAAAGCCAGGCATGGTGGCACAAGCCTGTAGTCCCAGCCACTTGAGAGGCTGAGGAAGGAGGATAACAAGCCAGCCTGGGAAGCTTAATGAGATCCTGTTTTATTTTACTTTATTTTCTTTTTGAGACATGGTCTCGCTATGCAATTCAGGTTGGCCTGGAGCTCACTTTGTAGCCCAAGCTGGTCTCGAACTCACAATGATCCTCCTGCTTCAGCCTCCCAAGTGCTGGGATTACAGGCATGCGCCACCACGCCTGGCGAGACTGTTTTAAAATAAAGTAACAGAAAGGAGTGGGTGATGTTGCTCAGTGGTAGATGATTGCCTAGCATTCTCAACAGCCTGAGTTCAGTCACCATTCCGGGAAGAAAAGTGCTAAGAGCAGATATTCTTCTGCTGTTCGTGATCAATGGAGAAAAAAATCATCCTGTCTCTCCTCATTAAGCAGGCTGTGCAATTCTCATGATGCCTTTTATCAGGGTGAGTTAGTGCCATTGACCTCAGATTGAGGTTGTACAGCTTTTCAGCTTGTAGCTCGAGAGTTTTAATAATGTTGGTTTTTGTCATGTTTTATCTGCATCTATTGAAATGATCCTGTAGTCTTTTACTCCTATGAATATGTGGTGTTACACTGATTGATTTTCACATCACCAAACCTTGCATTCCTGGAGTAAGTCCTACTTGGTCATGGTATATGCTTATTTTATATATATGTATGTTTGATTTGGGGTTCTCATTTTTTGCAATACTAGTGATTGAATCCAGGACCTTGGCTCCAAGCTACATCTGCAGCCCTTTTTTATTTCTTTTTATTTTGAGACAGAGTCTTGCTGACTTGCTGAATTGCCCAAGGGGGGCTCTAATTTGCAGTCCTCCTGCCTCAGTCTCCCAGAGTGCTGGGATCATAGGTGGGCACCAACATGCTCTGCTTGCCGAGGACTTTTGCATCTATATTCAAACGGGAGAATGGTGTGTAATCTTCTGTTCTGATCTTTGCCTGATGTTCTTAAGAGTCTTACAAGTCTGGTGGTCCCAACAAATCAGATCTGGTTACTTGGCCCAAAAAATCAAACAAAAAGTAATGGTGAAGGGCATGATCAGTGTAGCTATACTGGAAAGGCAGAGGCCAGTGTAAACCAGGAGACTGAAGTATGCACAGTTGAGCAGTCTCAGTCATGGTGGTCTGGTTGATCATTTTAGGACTGGTTAGAGAGGGCCTTGCCAGGTGTAGTAAGAAAATTACTGTTGAGCCTGGAGTGGTGGCACCTGCCTGTAACTCCATCTACTCAGGAGGCTGAGGCAGAAGGGTCATGCATTTGAGGCCATCCTGGGCAACCTAGTGAGACCCTCTCTCCAAAACAAAGTTGTAGTTAGAAGCCAGGCACAGTGGTACAAGTCTGTGGCCGCAGGGCCACCAGCTCCCATGATTTCTTATGCCATATAAGGTGGAAATCACACATGGGCCAGTATCAAGGCTGAAGTAAGTTTACTGTAGGAAAGAAGCATGGACACAGACAGTGGAGATTAACCGCTTTCTTTCTTTCTCCCTCCTAAAATCCCCAAATGCAGGAGCCTGCTCCTTTCCTACCAAGTGGCTACTTCACTTCCTGTTAGCTGTCTGCCTTAGTTACACTCCCAGACTCCCAAGGGTCACAATGCTTGGGTTCAATTCTGTCTGCAGTTTTTGCTCTTTGGCCTCAAGCATGTGCCTTAACCGGTTTTGAAGTCCTGTTATCTCCCCACCAGACCGGTGACCCAGGAGGCGAAGCAGATGATCACTTGAACCCAACCCTGGGCAACCTAATAAACCCCTTCTCAAGACAAAAAAAGATAGCGTATCAAAATCCTCCAAACCTATGAACACTACCTTACTGGGGGAAAAAAAGGTCTTTGTAGATGTAATTCAGGATCTTGAGGCTGGAAGGTAGCTCAGTGACAGAGCACTTACACATGGGTACAGGGCCTGGGTTCAACTCCCCAGTACCACACGCACACACAAAAGAAACAGTCTGTTACTGCAAGAGCTAGTCATTCATCATGGCAGCCCTGGGAAAGAAGTCATTTGTGTCATTCTAAAAATGTGGCCGGGCATGGTGGCACATGCCTGTAATCCCAGCATTTGGGAGGCTGAGGCAGGATGATCGTTGGGAGTTTGAGGCCAGCCTGGGCTACCAAGTGAGCTCAAGGCCATCCTGAACTGCATAGCAAGACCCTGTCTCAAAAAAAGACTAAATAAATAAATATATAAATAAATAAAAATGTGTCTTTTTCATCTAGGTTACCTAATTTATTGGCATATGATTGTTCATAGTAATCTTTTATAATCTTTTTTATTTCTGTAAGATAAATAGTGAAGTCCCTGCTTTCATTATGTTTTCTGTGTTTGGGAGTTGAACCCAGGGCCACAAGCATGCTGGACAAGTGCTCTACCACTGAGTTAAACCCCTAAAAAAACTTACTTTTTGAGATAAGGTCTTGCTATGTAGCCCAGGCTGGCTTTGAACTCACTGTGATCCTCCTGCCTCAGCCTCCTGAGTGCTGGGATTACAGGCATGCACCACCACGCCCAGCCCTCTTTTCATTCTTTTTTCTCCCTTCTTTCTTGATTTAACTGTTTGTCTTTCCTCTGGTCAGCCTAAGGAAAGGTTTGTCAGTTTTGTGATCTTTGCTATCAATTTTTGTTTTGGTTGATTTTTTCTATTGCTTTTCTAGTCTGTATCTCATTAATTTCTACTTTCACCTTTATTTTTTTCTTCCTTATGCTGCTTTAGGGGAAGATTCACTTGGTTACCACCACATGTCATTAAAATGGCCCATTTTAAACCAAACACAAGACGCACAAACAAGAAAATGTGGCAGGGTTCTCGAAGGCCAGGGACTGAGACCAGTTCTGGGTTGGTTACTTTTTCTGAGGAGGGATTAAAAGCAGGGATTAACCTGAGCTGGGACATCATACAGTGCACTGGGGACCACAGATCCACAATGGATAATTCTGCATACTTCCCCAAGGAACAGAGGCATGGGGTTATCGGCATCACCCTTTGGAGATTTCCCATTATCTTTAGGGGCGGGCCATCCTCTCCACCCACCAAGCCTAAAACTAGGACCACTGGGATGAAAAGCCTCCAGGGCAAGATCCTTCTTAGCATAAGATCACTTTGGCCCTCTTGAGCCATCCGATAATCCCCTCCTCAATCAGTAAGTGCTTTGGTTCTGGCTCTCTCTTGACCTTTGGTCCTCCTGAACAACTGGTCATCCCGGGTCCCCACTACTGCCATTTTGCGTCTTGCTCTTTCTTGCCATCCACTGTAACACCTGGCAGGAGACTGGAGGCTCACTGCAGGGGTTCCCAATAAAAGTGAGAGTGACTTAGCAGTTGGTTGTCTTCAGTATCAAAAATTCAAGCCCAGCCTACGCCATTTAACAACCTAGTAAAACCTCTCAAAGTAGGAGGGCTGAGGATGTACCTTAGTGCAAAGGCCATAGGTTCAACTCCTGGTATCAAAAGTAAAATAATTAAAGGAGCCTACCCATTTTCCTTATGCCTTAGAGTTGAAGCATCATTCAACGCTTCTATGTTCACGGCGGGAACATATAAGAAAACCATGTTTACTGACAAGGGAAGCTGGAACACTGATAACCTGAATAAATTCTCGGATTTTGCACAAAGGGGAAAGAGATATTGGCTCAGGCAATTAGCAGTCTATTCAGCTCCATCACTGTGAGATGTGTTCTAATGTCCTAGTGTGGCAATGAGTGCATGAAACTGCCGTTTTCTGTAGTCAGAAACCAATACTGGCAACTTCATACAGCTCAGCCTATAATGAAATATCAAAGTCTATTAATAATTTAAAGATAGGGGCTGGGATTGTAGCTCAGTGCTGGAACATGTGCTTAGTACACACAAGGCCCTACTTTTTAATCTGTGGAGGCTGAGGCAGGAGGACTGCAAGTTGGAGTCCAGGCTGGGCAATTTAGTGACTTGGCAAGACCCTGTCTCCAAATAAAAAATGAGCCAGCCTGGTGATGCATACCTGTAATCCCAGCACTCAGGAGGCTGAGGCAGGAGGATCACCAAGAGTTCGAAGCCAGCCTGGGTAAAAAGCGAGCTCAGGGCCAGTCTGAACTATGTAGAAAGACCCTGTCTCAAACAAACAAATAAAAAAAATGAAAAAAAGAGCTCAGGATAAGTGAGAAAGCCCTAGGTTTAATCCTTAATACAAAAAAATTTTTTGCTGGGCGTGGTGGTGCACACCCATAATGCCAGCACTCAGGAGGCTAAGGCAGGAGGATCTTTGCAAGTTTGAGACCAGCCTGGGCTACAAAGTAAGCTCAAGGCCAGCCTCAACTGCGTAGCGAGTCTCTGTCTTAAAATTTTAAGTAGAGCAGACCTAGGTTTTTGCCATAATCATTATAGTTAAATTCCAATAATCTTTCTCAAGTGGAAAAGGAGTGACATTAAAGCTGGAATATTGGGAGTTATACCTTTAAGCACCTCAAAATTTGTTTCTGTTCCTAAATTAAGAACTTCCTATATTGGACTGGAAAATGGCCCTAAAGATTATGTCCACACGTGAAGTTACAGGGCAAAGGGGACTCACAGTCACAGATCTTAAAGGAGATTGTCCAGATAGGTGCAGTGCAAGCAATGGGCCTTTAAAGGCAGACACGGACGCCCAAGCCTGTGGCACATGCTTGTAATCAGCTGCTCAGGAGGCTGAAGGAGGAGGGCCACAAGTCTGAGATCACCCTAGACAACTTAGTGAAGCCCTGACTTAAGAAAAAACGGGGCTGCAGACGTAGCACAGTAGGAGGTTCTGAGTTCAAACCCCAGTACCACCAAAAAAAAAAAAAAAGAGAAAGGTGAGTCAAAGAGAAGTAACAGCAGAGCTTGAAAATGGAAGAGGGACTCAATCACCATTAGCAGCTTTGAAGAAAAGGGGCCACAGGCCAAGGAATGCAGGCAGCTTCTAGATGCTGGAAATGGCCCTCATCAGACAAATAGCAAGGAAATGGGACATTCAGTCTTCAGCAGCAAAACATTTGCCAACCACCCAATGAGCAAGCAAATGGATTCATCCATCCCTACCCCACTGCCAGGCCCCAGAAAAGAACACAGTGCTGCCAATGCTTAGATTTTCACCTGGCTGAGACTGTGTCTGACTTATGACCCACGAAACTGTAAGACAATACATTTGGCCTCCATGCTACTAAACTGGGGGTTAACAGGAAATAATAGCAATGGAAAAACCTCACACTCACCGTACTCAAAGGTTCAGTTTAAGCAGGGCATGGTGGCGCATCCTGTAATCCCAGCACTCGGGGGCTGTGACAGGAGGATCGCCATGAGTTCGGGACCAGTCTGGGCTACAAAGTGAGCACAAGGCCAGCCTGGACTGCACAGTGAGACCTTGTCTCAGAAAGACAAAAAAAAAAACTTGTGCTAAAAGGTTCAGTGTACAGTATTCATCAGACAGGGGAGTCCAAAGTCACGTGAGCTTTATTGTTTTGTGACACTGGGAGCAAACTCAGGTGCCCTACCCCTGAGCTGCGTCCCCGCCCCACGCCCCTTTTGGAGACAGCATCTCACTAAGTTGCCCAAGTAATCTTGAAGTCCCGCTTCAGCCCTCCAAGCAGCTGGGATTACAGGTGTGGGCCACCATTCCTGTGTACGTGTCCTCAGGAAGTTCAGGCAGGACCATTATGAAGTCAAGGCCAGCCTGCACAACACAGCAAGTTCAAGCCCAGCACGGACTACAGAGTGAGACCTGGAATGAAAAAAACAAACAAAAAATTTAGCTCACATGAGGTCCTGAACGATTCCGGTGTGTTACACTGTGCCATAAATGGAAATGTATGTACGGCCAGCAAAAACAGCGAAGCAGTGGAGAGCTATGCAGCCAATCATTTTACGTGGAAATGCTTTTTGATGAGTCCATGACTAGCTGTTATGAGGAACATTTCATCTAGGGGTGATTTTTAAGGCAGCGAACCAAGTTTCCGTAAGAACAGAACCTTCCATCTCAGAAGAAGGGACGCTGACAGGAGGACCAGAAGCCGCTGTTTCCAGTGCGTTCTCCTGCTCACAGGTGAGGCTTGAACCGCCTTTCACTTTAGTCTCTCGCTCTTCCACCTTCAGACGTTTTTTTGAGGCTGGAGCTACAACTTCATCTTCATTTTCATGTAGAAAGCTACAAATCATGTTGGGTCTGTAGGAGAAATCATTATCTTTCATCTGCAGCCATTCTACTCCTCCTAATTTGGGCAGGACAAGAGACAAACCGAGAAAGTAACGTGAAAAAAATTGAAATGTACCGTAAGCTTTCACCCTGTGAACATATATCGAAGTAAAACTGCAACTGTAAGTCCTGATGGGAAATCACCTATGTCACTTCCATCTCCCATGGAGACCTAGGGAGGCTGCAGCCTCACAGTCACCCCAGCTTGTCACTTCAATTGCCGCTCTTCACCCTTTTCCCAGAGTTAAATTCTCAACTCTCGGGCTGGGCATACAGCTCAGGAGCACAGCACCTGCCTGACAAGCACAAGGTCCTGAGTCCCATTCCCGGTACCAAAAAAAAAAATCTCAACTCTGAGAAATAATTTGAGTTCTCACTGCCACCTCGTTCCTTAAGGAAAACTTTGTCACTTTCCTATGCGTTTGTCTTTATCTATTCAGTTTTCATCATGCCGTGATGACACTTCTGTTCCCTTCCAAGTTAGGACTCTCAACGTTATCTTTTTCATTTTGGTGGGGAGAAGGGTTCTGGGGGTTGAACCCAGGGCCTCACACCTGCTAAGCACATTTTCCAATCATTTTCAGCTGGAACATCCAATTGTGAGGTAAAGCAGCTCTCAGCTGGGTGTGGCGGTGCAACACCTGTAATCTCAGCACTCAGGAGGCTGAGGCAGGCGGATTGCCATGAGCTGGAGGCCAGCCTGGGCTACATAGTAAGTTCAAGATCAGACTGAAGAGTGAGACCCTGTCTCAAAAAACAAAAACAAGACTTATTTCTTGTTCCTTTCCACACCGACAGGCAAATCCCTAACCTCTTAATACCCCATAATCAAGGCTTTCTCCAGTAATGCCACTCTTCCTCTTATCCTTATTACCTTTTAGCCAAGTACTTTCAATGGGCAAGAAGCTTAGGTTCACTGTAACAGGCACCCGCTGAACTGCACTGTGTGTCTCTAAAATGCCCCGCCGACCTTCCCACCCCACCCACTCCTGTCTGCTCCCATCTCCTACAATAACCGGCTCCTCCAGGGCGGAAGCTTCCTTGCACAGCCCTCCTCCTCGTACTCCCATACAGTCTCACAGATCCACGAGGCCTCTCCCCTCGGGTCTGGCTCTGCCTGCCGAGTCCCCTGCCCTCTCTTCCTGCAGTAGCATCTTCCCCAGTCATCCAGGTACAGAGACTCGGCGCAGTACCACATCTGTTACTCAGCACAGTCCTGGGCGCAACAGGGTGGTAAATAGAACTGGAGGCTGAGTCACATCTGATGTCTGTCTCAATGTTATTTAACACATTTCCCTCCTTTCTCCTTATTTCTGGTGCTGGGGATTGAACCCAGGACTTGGTGTATGATAAGCATGTGTTCTACCACTGAGCTACCTCCCCAGTAAAAACGTGATTCAGAGCACAAGCTCCGAGAAAGTGTGGGCTACACCTCCTGTCTCTCTCATCATGCCTGCAGTACACGGCCAAGGGCAGCCGGCCTCCAGCCGTCCCGAGATCTCTGCCTTCCTGCACGATGCCCCTTTGCAGCTCCTCCCGCACAGAACAAGTTACTGCAGAAATGACAGAGCGCGAATTCTAAGGTGGTTCATAAAAGACCTGGAGACTTCTACCTTGTTCTCATGGGCTTCGAGATCTGAGAGAAGTGAGCTGCCATGACAGAGGACCTTTGCACAGTCTGTGGGGAGGGCCACACAGCAAGGACCCAAAGCCTCCTGCCAAAAGCGGTAACAGCCTCACCAGCCATGTGACTGAGTCACCTAAAATTGGAGCTTTTGGCACTAGTCCAGCCCTACAATGACTGCAGTTTAAACAACATTCTGACTGCAGCCTCGTAAGAAGACCCTGAGCCTAAATCCCTGATTCACAGGAACTATGGAAGATTCTGGTTCCTTTTTTTTTTTTGTCTTTTTGAGACAGGGTCTCACTATGCAATTCAGGCTGGCCTTGAGCTCACTTTGCAGCCCAGGTTGATACCAAACTCACAATGATTCTCCCGTCTCAGCCTCCCAGAGTGCTGGGATTACAGGCGTGCACCACCACCCCCACAGTTCAAAATTCTGGTTTCTTTGCTGTTATAACAGAATAAACAACACTGTGAGGAAATCCCACAATTCCTTTCATCAGAGTATCTAAATGATAGCTAAGCTTATGACACGTATTTAGCTTTCAAGTTCATTCCAGAACCTAGGACCTCCCCGTTTCTGTTATTTTTATGACATGCCTTTAAGAAAGGAATAGTTTTAGAGGCAGGCACAGTGGTGCATATCTGTAATTTCAGTTTACTCTGGAGGCTGAGGCAGAAGGATGACAAGTCCAATGCCAGCATGGGTAATTTGGCAAGACCCTAACTCAGAAGTCAAAAAACAGAGGGCTGGGTTTGCAGCTCAGGAGTAAAGTGCTTGCCTAGCATTTTAGCACCACGCACACAAGAGAGACAACTTGGGGGTATTATCCAAAGAACAAAAGTGAGTGCGGCATAGTGGTGCACACCTGTAATCCCAGTACTAGGGAAGCTGAGGCAGGCGGATTGTTGCAAGTTCAAGACAAGCCTGGGCTACAAAGTGAGCTCAAGGCCAGCCTGAACTACACAGCGAGACCCTATCTCAAAAAGACTAAAAAAAAAAGAAGAGAACAAAAGTGTTTTGTGCATATTTGATACAATAATTTCTGAAGATAAATGTACCTTCAAAATAGTCTTAAAAATATATATATTTATTCTTTACCTAAACTATAGTAGGTCTACTAAACTGAGCAGTCTTGTTTACTATAGTTTCAAATATTATTCTTTTTGTTGTTGTTTTGAAACAGGGTCTCACTATGCAATTCAGGCTGGCCTCAAACTTGTAGCAGTCCTCCTGTCTCAGCCTCCCAAGTTCTGGGATTACAAGCGTGCACCACCAGGCCCAGCCTCAAGTATTTTTGTGAGCAATGAATGTTTAAACCATCATACGAGTATCTGTTCAGCTCCACAGCAGTGTGCCTGCTGTGAGGCAAGATACACGGAACTAAGTCTTTAGACTGTGCTGGGGGCAGCTGGAGAGAACTAAACGGGTGCTGAGGATTACAGTTGAGACGAACAATTATGTTCTGAAAATTCTCGCCACATACAAAGTCAGCTGCTTCCACCTGTAAATTTCTTGGAGAAGGCTGCTATAGCTACCAAAAATTTCTAGGTGATTCCCTGAGCTTACGCGTGGGAATTCAGAAATGCTAGCATCATCCACTCCATTTCCAAGTTAAGGTTTTAATGAAGGATCAAGAACAAGACAGATGCTGCTAAATCCCCTAGGGCTTGGAAATCTTGTCTCACTTCTTAGCAAACTCTCCACTGTTGTTTCCAGTGCAGAGCAGACAGACGTTTATTGTATGCCTCAGCCAGAGCAGAGTGAGCGGAATTTTTAATCTGTGCTTGGTTCCTCCCTTGCAGCATGCTCAAGTTTCATGTCTTTAGTTTGTGATGCTGGGGATCAAACCCAGGGCCTCATGGATACTGGGCATGTGCTCTACCACTGAGCTGTACCCCCTACCCAAATGAATGTCTAAAACCTTTTAGGTTTTGTTGTCATAGCTCAAAAAGAGGCTAATTCCATTGCCAGAAAGTTTTACTTATTTATTTTGCAGAGTCAGGGGTGAACCCAGGGCCTCATGCATGCTACCAAGTGCTCAGTTTGAAACTAAAACATATTAACACATAGTTCTTGCTACAAACCACAAGGAATACCCTGAAGGCAAGGAGTCACTGTCAAAACCAAAACGACATCACCACTGGGCGTGGTGGTACATGTCTATAATCCCAGCACTCGGGAGGCTGAGGCAGGAGGATTGCTGCAAGTTTGAGGCCAGCCTGGGCTACAAAGTGAGTTCAAGGCCAGCCTCAATGCATAACGAGACTTTGCCTCAAGAGGAGAAAAAATTTTAAAAAATAAAAAAATGACACCACCTGTGTGGAGAGGCAGGGGAACTGACCTGTGCTTTCGTCTCCCTCCTTCTTCTCGGTCAGCAGTGTTCTGGTCATGCTGAGTTTCTTCGTGGTGTGGCACTTATATCTCAGCACTGTCTTACTGCTGCCTTCTGTATCCACTGGAACAGAAAACAACTCAATTACTATACGGCAGGATGCCGTCAAATAAAATAATGATGTGAACTCCAACAATTCCAGTTCAAGGAGCGAAGCTAAACTACGTATCACCTGAGTACAGAGCTCCAAAGTGCAAATCATCCCTCCTGCTCCAATCACAGAGAAATGACAGATGAAACACACTTCACAGCACGACTGGACACAAACAAAAACAACGAGCATCTCCAGCCACAGAACAAAGCTATGAGTGACAGTCAATGCACAGGCCTAACAGGCGCAACTCTTCAAGTGTGAAAGAGACATCAGAGATGTGTCCTTCCAGAGCCGGGCATGGAGGCGCTCGCCTGTAATCCAAGCACTTGGGAGGCTGAGGCAGGAAGGTCACTATGAGTTTTAGGCCAGCCTAGGCTACATAGTGAGTTCAAGGCCAGCCTGAACTACATAACGAGACCTGTCTCAAAAAAAAAAAAAAAAAAAAAGAAACAGAAATGTGTCCTTCAGGGTGTATTGCCTAATGCTACCTCACAGAATGAAAGACCCAACCAGGCACAGTGCCACATGCCTGCAAACCCCAGTACTCTAGGAGGCTGAGGCAGGAAGATCCTAAGTTCAAGCCCAGAATGAAGAACTCAGCAACTTAATGAGACCTTGCCTCAGAATAAAAAGAGCTGCACATATAGTTGTGTGAAGGCCACGGGTTCACTCTGCACTACTGCGGGGGAAGAAAGGACCCAAGTCAGACTTTGAGCTTCAAGCCTGAGGGAGACTAGAGTAGGAACACCTCCAGTCATAAAAGGCGGCTGGGATAAACTCCAGCCCATTTGCTGCCTGGAACTGCAGCGTTAGGAAACTGGGCCTAGATAAGAGGGAGGGGCCCTGAGCACTTCCACACTCCGCTCTGTGAGTGTAAACTGAGTAGCTTAGCATGTCTGAAAACCACATGAATTGGTGTTCAGCCAAACTGGTCATTTCGCAGGGTTTTACCTGAAAACAGAGACAACATGTTTGTCAGTGCACTGGGACTGGGGCTTGAACCCAGGCCTCACACGTGCTAAGCCTTATCTTTACCACTGAGCCCCACCCAAGCCCCATCAGTGTCTCTCTCGTGTGGACACTGCAGTCCTTCTCACGTGCATACACAAGACGACAGAAGAGAGTATGTACACAGCTCCTCTGCGGTGAGGCGACAAGCACCACCGAAGCTGTGGGCCGCAGCTCAGTGCTGGAGTGCTCAGCAGGGGTGAGCGCTTGGGTCGGTCCCCAGCACACACACAAGAACATGGGCTCTGAAGCCAGGCAGCCTGAACGTAAGTCCCGGCTCTGCCACTTGCTGCGTGAGCTTGGGCGTGTTACTTACCCATCTGAGATTCAGTTTCCTCAACTATAAAATGAAAATCACACCAGCATCTAGCTTATCAGGTTGTGGTGAGGATTAAAAGTTACACACATAGCACTTAGAACAATACAGAAGACATATCAGTAACAGTTATTAATAATTACTGGTGAATTTCACATGGGATAACACCGTGCTGCTCTCAAAGGTAGAGTTATAGCCGGGCATGGTGGTGCACGCTTGTAATCCCAGCGCTCAGGAGGCTGAGGCAGGAGGATCATTGTAAGTTCAAGGCCAGCCTGGGCTACAAAGTGAGCTCAAGGCCAGCCTGAACTGCATAGTGAGACCCTGTCTCAAAAAGACAAAAAAGAAAGTGTAGTTATCAGGCTGGGGGTGGTGGCACAGGCCTGTAATACCAGCACTTGGGAGGCTGAGGTAGGAGGATTGTCCCAAATTCCAGGTCAGCCAGGGGTACAAAGTGAGTTCAAGACCAGCCCGAATTGCACAGAGAGACCCTGTCTCAAAAAGACAAAAGAAAAAGGTGTAGTTATCAGTTTATACTCACAGTAGCAATAATCTGGAGGATAAATTGTGGCACAGTCACAAAATGGAACAGAAAACAATAGGAACAATATAGAAAAATATATATAGATATATAGCTATATCAACATACACCAGTTGAAAATGTATCTGAGTAAAAAAAGATACACAATGATATGTATAGCATGCTATCATTTGTATCAAGGTTTGTTTGTTTTTTGAGACAGGGCCCAGTTATGCAATTCAGGCTGGACTTGAGCTCTCTATGTAGCCCAGGCTGGCCCTGAACTCATGATGATCCCCCTACCTCAACCTCCTGAGTGATGGCATTACAGGCATGCACCACCACTCCCAGCTCCTACACCTAATTTTACATTACATATGGATATATCCACAAACAATAAATAGTACCACTGTATATATTTTCAAACTTGAGGCTGTGGGATGAGTCAATGCAGAGCAGCTTGTCCAGCACGAACAAGGCCCTGGGTTCAACCTCAGTCAGCAAAACAACAAAAAAAAAAACTCGAAGCCGAGTGTAGGAAAGATAAACAGAATAGGAAAATTAGGTTTAGGAAAGATAAACACCAAACTCAAGAGGTTGGTCACCTCTGAAGACAGGAAGGGAGTAAGTTTTTTGGGCCTTCTGGTTTTTTAAAAAAAAATATGTAAGTACATGTTTGCAGCACGTAATAACTACATAATGTGAGACCCTGCCTCAAAAAAAAAGGTGGGCTAGCATAACAATTACTTACCGTGTTCAACATCTTCTTCAAATATAACACAGGTTCCAAGAGTATCTGCAGAAAAGTTTAAAGGCAAATTGTTGAGAAACAGCAGAGCTCCCTTCTCTGAAAGGCACATCAAAGGCAAC